AAAATGGGTTGAAAATGGAAATTTACAGTTGTATTTTGTTGGAGAGGAATCGCTTCTGGATTTTGCCTCTGGACGATTTCCACAAATGAGGCGTTTTAGAGAATTAGGGCTTGCTGTAGAATTGCGTTTAGGTTTGATTTTGATTTTACCAATTTAGGACATAAATAATACTTCTTTAGAATATTTAAAAAATTTAAAAGGTATTAATCAAAACACTTTAAAAAATGGGTTACATGGACTAATTTCCTCCATGTCTTATCTGGCCCAAAACTTACATCATCCCTATCTAGTCTCTGTACCAAGCATGGAAGTTCCGCTAGCGATTTATGCATTTCCTCCTTTGAAGAAGACTTTCAAATGGAAGAATTTCAGTTCAATTTCCCACAAAAATGGGTTCCGACGCTATATTTTGCCTCGCAAGGTGAAATATGATTGCTTTATTGCTGTTTATTTTTCTATTTTTCACTCACTGCCGTGTTCCATATAAAAAGTTATAAAACCCTGTTCCCGAGAAGGGTACATATTTGATCAAAAAAATTTTAAAATGACAAGTCAGAATTGAAATTAATGATTAATGAATTGGTCTCTTAACAGAGGAATTGTGGTGATGCAGAGCTTTTTGCATGGAAAATATAGAAGTTGTGTGGATTGGGATGATGCGTATGTGGAAGATGCTTCATTCGTGCACAATTTCAATCGAAAATTTTTTCCTCAAATTACTGAAAATTTTAGTCTTGAGGTGAAACCAGGAGATGTTCTGTCTTACAACTCTACCCTGTCCAGTTTGCTGCTACGCTATGCCAGTAATGGTTTTTACTCTAAAGCAAAGGCTGTTTGGGATGAAATATTGAACAGCTCATTTGTGCCAGATGCTAGTGTAGTTTCTAAACTAATAACTATATATGGGAGTGTAGACAATTTTGATATGGTTAGCCAAATTATGCGTCAAATGCAATTAAAAGATCCAGATATTTTACCCAATATTTGTGCACTGTCTATTTCTTCCTTTGGAAAGAGAGGACAACTAGAGTGTATGGACATTATGGTCAAGGAGATGGTGTCTATGGGATGTTCTGTAGATTCGGCCTCTGGGAATTCTTATCTATTGTACTATAGTCTTTTTGGTTCAGTTGCTGAGATGGAAGTTGCTTATGGCCGTCTTAAGAGGTCGAGGATTCTCATAGAGGAAGAAGCAATAAGGGCCATGTCATTTGCTTATATTAAGGGAAAAAAGTTTTATGCTTTAGGTCAGTTCGTGCAGGATATAGGTCTTGGGAGGAGAAATGTGGGTAATCTTCTTTGGAACCTTCTCCTACTATCTTATGCTGCAAATTTCAAAATGAAAAGCTTGCAGAGGGAATTTGTGAAGATGGTGGAAGCAGGATTCACTCCTGATCTTACTACTTTTAACATTAGAGCACTTGCTTTCTCAAGAATGTCTTTATTTTGGGATCTGCATGTAAGCCTCGAACATATGAAGCATGAATCAGTTGTCCCTGATCTTGTTACTTATGGTTGTGTTGTTGATGCATACCTCGACAAAAAATTAGGAAGGAATTTGGAGTTTGCCTTAAGCAATTTGAGCAAGCACAAGTCTGTCTCAGTATCGACGGATCCACTTGTTTTTGAGGTTATGGGAAAGGGAGATTTTCATTTGTTTTCAGAAATGACATTGGAGTACACGAGAAAAAAGAAATGGACCTATAACATGCTAATTACCACCTATCTTAAGAAAAAGTTTCGGAGTAATCAAATATTTTGGAATTATTGATGATGATGAATTAATTGATTGTGAAATGGATATATTGTGGTAGTTGTTTAACAGGTAAACTCACTGGTAAGAACTCATGCTTCAGTTTTTGACCACTCGTTCTTTAATGAT